TGAATCTTCTGTAGCTGTGTCCTAGCCATCCTTGAAGGCTCCAGGCATTCTGATACCATTCCTTGGTCTTCCCCATACCTCTCTTCTCAAACTGATCAGTCATTATTTGCGTACATGGCTGATGATGGGCTCTCCTCTACTTTTCTGATTCAGTGCAAGTTCCTTGGCACAGCATGTCCATCCTTTCCTGTCCAGAGTCCTTGATGTATTGCTGTGCATGTAGTAAGCATTCAGCATATGATTAATTAAATTCAGCCAAGATAAATACTTAATTGTCATACTCTTAGCACTTGGCTGATCCCTTAGGAATAATTCCTGTCTTCATATCCTACCCTATGGAAGATTTACTTATGGAATGGACTTTTGTGGTATACTTTTAAAAAACAGCATTTGTTTTCTGACGTTTAGGACTTGATTGTTCTTTATATGTTAAGGTTTGTGGCTGTTTTTACATGTCCTTATTCTCTAATGTTTTCTAATTGTGGTGTCATGGCCACTCTTTCCAAATGCCCAGCTCGGTGACCTGGAAAAGAAGCATGCCATGCTTGAAATGAACGCCCGGAGCTTGCAGCAGAAGCTCGAGACGGAGCGAGAGCTCAAACAGAGGCTGCTGGAGGAGGTGAGGGGCGCACCGGCGAATTGGACGAGGTGGGGTTGCAATTGAAAACACGTTCAAGGGATCAGGTCCAAATTAGCCCCTCGCAGTTTGAAACGGAGATTTTTTAGGAAGGGTAGTGGTTACTTAATGCTTCTTTTAAGTTATTTGACACATCAAAATAACATATCCTGAAAGCAGAGGGTTTCTTTTTTATCTTTCTCCTGCAGGATACTTAGTGTGGAGCACATGTTGTTGTTGTTATGTGCCGTCGAGTTGGACCCGACTCACAGTGACCCCTCCTTGGGTTTCCGAGGCGGTATCACTACGGAAGTAGATTGCCCAACCTTCCTTCCGAGGAGTGGCTGATGGGTTTGAACCGCCAGCCTTCTGGTTAGCAGTCAAGTGCCTTAGGCACTATGCTACCAGAGCTCCCATGGAGCACATAGTAATAATAAGCATATGCCAAAGAAGAGTTTATTAAATATACGGATGAATGAATATGGAGTTTAATTGTTCGTCAGCAGTAATATCCAAAGTATATTAAGTTATTCAGGCTAATAATGGAGCATCCATGCAAATTAGAGTAGTGCACAGGGCAGTGACTTGATCAGATTTGCTGAGTACCAAATTTCATGAAGACTTTTGAACGTTCAGTTAATTCAATTTTAAAAAATTGTGCCCTGCTTTTGAGACATAAAATGAAAAGCTCAAATTGAATTCCTAAACCCATTCCAAGTTATTTCCTGTACCTGTTATTAACAGAACTCTGAACATTGCTATTTGAATAGATGACTGCACCTCATTCCCACACAAAGGCCCTGTATGTTGGATCACTAATGATTTGGCTTTGTTCATTTGAATTGACCTACAAGGATTAATGAATTTGTAAAGATATCTGATGAAAAGTTTCTGTCCAAATGGTTTTCTGTGTAACCCATAGTAAGCTAGACAGTTCAATAAACTCTTCTGGTTAATTGTGATTTTATTGTGTGCTACCCATAACTCAGGCGTCCTCTGCTAATAGAAGTACTGTTGCTATGCTATTAAGTTTGGAAAGTGTGTTGAAAACTTTGAAGGTCAGTGTGAAATGTTTTATAGAATGATTGTTTTAAAAAATATGGGTGGGAAGTTCACCCAAACATGGCACTAAAACAGAACAGACCAGGCTCACTACCATTGAGTTGATTTTGTCTCATAGTGATCTTTTAGGACAAAATAGAACTATCTCATGGGTTTCCAAGGCTTTAAGGAAACAGACTGCCTCATCTTTCTCCCACAGAGTGGCTGGTGGGTTCAAACCACTGACCTTGTGGTTAGCAGCCAAATGCTTTAACTGCTTACGCACCACCTGAGCTCCTAACATGGTACTCCATAATAGAAATTTAAAAATCTTTCTGGTGGTAAAAATAGAGAAAATTATGATCTTTTATCTGGGATAAATAGGCAGTGCCCCTACTTCAGGCACATGTTGGAGACGGAAAGGACAGAAATAATCAATGACCTTGCCTGCCCTGTTTTCCTTCAGAGGAGGGAGAGTTGGTCCTGTCAGCTCACTACTTTGGTTCAAGGTTACATGGTGAGTCAAGGACAATGCTAGGAATAGAATGCCAGAATCCTGATTCAGTCCCTTCGTTCTCACTTCTCAACAACACAAGAACATTTCTAGTTTTCCAGACTGCCTCACAGATAGATTTTTGAGCACAGACATCTGGCTGACATTGAGTTTGTGGCAGATTCTAGCAGACATTTAAAACCATTATTATACAAAGAAAGATCTTTATTGTCCAAAGTGTGCTTAGGATTCTTGATTATGATGTAGCCTTCCTAAGCATGTGACCAAAGGTTCAACCTAGACGTTTTCTTCATGGGCACAGAGACTTTTAAATGGGGTCAGACTCAGAGTCTCTGAGTTAGAAGGATTTTTTGTGTCATCTAGTCCAAATCTTGGTACCTGTAGTCCTGTTCCCTTTATCCCTACCCATGGCAGACTTTATCAATGGGTCTTTCTCCAAAATCTTTCCTCCCAGGCCCAAAATGGCCTCAAAACTTTCCTGAACATGGCACTTTACAGCCACTGTGTCCACTGGAAGACACTTACAGATGAAAATCCATTTGCTGATCCTGGTCAAGTTAACGTCCCATGAAGGCTAGAGAATCTCTTCCACAGCACTCCTCATTGGTGGGCCTCGTTGAAACTCAGCCTAAATACTTAACAGTAATTTCATATAATTCAACCTAATAGTTCTGCTGTTCAGAGCATTAGAGAGTAGTCTGGTTACACCTACCAAAATAGGAGGTTAACGTTGATTAATAATCTAAATAACTCATGTTTAACTAGCACTTACTGCGTGCCAGGTACCCTTCTGAGTACTTTACATGAATTGGCTCATACAGTCTCTCTGACAATTCTATGAGATAAACTACTTCTATCTCCATGACACTCAATTAGATATCCAAGTGGTCCTCCCACATGAAATATTTTTCTCTTTTCTAAATGAAACATTTACATGTAGTCCCTCTACACTTTGGATGTTCTTTTCTGGTATATTTTTCTTTTCAAAGAGAATTTCCAGAAGCTCATGTGGTCTGCATAGCACTGAACACAGTGGGGATATTCCCACCTCTACACGGGCTCCAGAAACCTGTGCCGGTGACCAGGGCTCTGGGTTAGCTTATCACACACCATTGATGCCTGCTGGCCCATTAAATTACTACCACCCCCGTCACACGTTTTTGCTTTTGTTTTTATATCTTTATGTTCTATATTTGTATAGTTTCATTAAGAAAAAAAGAAAAGCATCTTTGTTGAACTTCCCCCTGTTGGTTTTGATCCACCCTCCAGGCCACCAGGGTTGTTTCACAGTCTGGTTCCATGATCCAGCTTCTTCATTCTTCTTGGTTTCCAGGTTCAAGTCCACACCTAAGCTGTCCCTTCAGACCGACACTGACCTGTGAACAAGCCGCCACTTGCTTCTCTCTGGGAGGGCTCTGGGAAGCAAGGAAACGGTTTTGTGAAAACATTTTGGAAAGCACAAATCTCCCTCTCTAACTTGTTTTTTGTTATAGTAAATAACCAGCCTATTTCTCAGACAGCTATTGGACAGTCGATGTGTTTATTCTAGAAAAATATTTTGGATTTTGGGAATGGCTGCCACCAAACAGATTCCTGTCCCCACAGTTAGTTGTCCTCTGCTTCCTTCCTAGTAATTAACGTTGTCCTAAAATAGGGGGAGAAATAAAGAGGGTAATTTGTGGAAGGAATCACTTGTGCTGCAGGGCACTGAGCACTCCCCGCAGGAGCTTATCTTAGCTGGGCTTGGTTTGCTTGCTTTTTTTTTTTTTTTTTTCCTCCTTCTGTATTTTAGCAAGGTCTGTGATTTGGTTCAGAAATTCCAGGTTTGCACAAAGGCCAAGTGATCTTTAGTTACTAACAAGTATCCTTTGCTTTACGGCAGGATCATATACAGTTTTGGGTCCTCCCCCCCCCCTTTCAAATATTCAGTCTACTTACTTTAAGAACTAAGGTCAGAGAATAAAAAATAGAATTCAGTAAATATTACAGATTTTTTTTCTTTTAATGCTAATAATCCTATGTCACACCCAATGAAGGAGAAGAGGTTTGTAGAGTGGGATGGGATGGGAAGGACAGATGGAAGGGTGAGGAGATAGCCCTTGAACTGTGTGGAGGAAAGAAGAGTGGATGGGGGGTACTGAACTTTAGTAAGCACCTACTATATGGTCGATACTGTGCTCAATATGTCAACCGGTGAGGAGAAGTATTGTACCTACATTGAGACGGATAAACTCAAGTTCTGAGAGGTCATGGGAACTTCCCATGGTCATTTGACTGATAAAGGCTAGAGGCAGGATTTAAACCAGGGCCTGTGAGGTTCCAAAGCACAGATCCATTCCACTGCACCATAATTCTCAAAATGAATTTCTACTCAAGGAGTAGAAATAGGAAGAAAAACGTAGGTGGAGAGAAGTGAGATAAGACAGAGAGGGTCAGCATATTCTGAAGTCATCAGTGGTCTATTCTAGAAGAGGATTTTGTGCATGGCTGTCATCAAACAGATTCTTGTTCCTAGCAGTCCCACAGCTTGCTAGGACTGAGCACTGTGAGATCTGCCATTGCCTCCCCCCGCCCCCCATTAAATTTGTTTTTTTGTTGTAGAGAACAGACAGTGAAATATATGATCAACTCAGCAGTTTCTACATGTACAGTTCAGTGACATTGATTATATTCTTTGAGTTGTAGAACAACCATTCTCACCTACTTTTTCTGACCTGTTCTTCCCCTATTAATAAACTTACTGTCCCTAAGGTTCCTCTCTAATCTTTCAAGTTGCTATTGTCAATTTGATCCCATAGAGATAGATCTTAAGAGAGCATAATGCTCATGCCAGATATTCTTTAAGTTATACTACTGTTTGCTTTTAAGAAGACTTTAGGGGATATTTTTGGTTTAGGTTTAAAGATTCTCTCAGGGCAATAGTTTGAGGGCTTCATCTGCCTCCATGACTCCAGCAAGTCCGTGAGAATTTGGAAATCTATGCTACATTTTCCCCCTTTTGTTCAAGATTTTTCTATGGAATCTTTGATCAAAACATTCAGTAATGGTAGCCAGGCACCGTCCAGTGTTGGTCTCACGGCCAAGGAGGCAGTTGTTCATGGAGACAGTTAGCTGCACATTCTATTTCCTCCTCCTCCTGTTCCTGATGCGCTTTATTCCTGTGTTGCTCTAAGTGAATAGAGACCAGCTGGTGTGCCTTGTATGGCTGCATGCAACCTTTTGCGTAATTCCTCGGGTCTTAAAAGCTCTTCTTTTTTTAATTATTAAAAAATTACCTTTTTTTAAATTGTGGTGGAAACATATATACCCCCTTCTCATTTATCTAAACAGTTAGGTTCCAAAGACCAGATCATTATGCAAAAATTGATGTTATGTGAAAATGGAGGATGACTATATCATTATATAACTGCCGTTATATAACGATATATATATAGTTACATACCTGCCAAACCACTGAGAGTCATGGCCCAGCCTAATTAAATCATAACTTAGCCATCACATCCAGCATTGTTTTCGCCTCATACCTCAGCCTTCGTTACTGCCAGCCAAACATAGTTAATGTGCAAAATAGTTGGTTACTAGATTTTTTTTTACTATTATCATAAATGCAAATTGCCAAATAAGGGGATAGTTGCTAAGTGAGGAGTAGGTATATAGTAAACTGTAGGTATCTCAACAATTTCCGCATGTACAATTGAGTGACACTGATCACGTTATTCAAGTTGTGTAGCCATTGAGGCTGTACTTCTCCAAGTTATTCCTCCACTATTTACGGAAACTCAGTGCCCCCTTAGCAAAAATTCACTCTTTCCCCCTTCCTCCTACCCTTGCTAACCAGTAATAATCTTCAGTTTCTATATATTTGCTTATTTCATACAGCAAAATCATACAGTATATGTCTTTTTGCAAAAGATTTGTTTAACTCAGCGTGGTGTTTTCTGGGCTCCTCCATGCTGTGGCATGTGTCAGGACTTCATTTCATTTATGACTGAGTAGTAGTCCTGCCATTGCCTTTTGGAAAACTCCTTTGGCGATGTTTATTGCTCTATCCTTGAGTGTGCAGAGGTGTAGGCCACCAGAGAAGAGATGATCTGGGCTGCAGCAGCTGTGGTTAGATTGTCACCTGGGGGTGGAAGAAATCAGGCAGCGTTTCATCACCACGGCTGTCCTCCTGCTTTTTAGAAACAGAAGCCTTTCAGGAAAGAGCTATGAAGCTAGGGTCTTATAGCCTGCCCTATTTTCTGGTTGACTTCCGTTGTGAAAATTGAAGTGAGATTTTTCAGTACAGAACTATTTCTCACATACTAAATTGAATTCTTTCCTGGGCTTTACTGATGCTTGCACAGAATCCGAGCTCGTCCTCATTCATCCTCCCCATGCTGTAGAAACATCGCCTATGATTATGGCTCTTTGTGTACTTTGGGTCCCTGCCGTGATGGGGTGCATATGAAATTAAGGATGATCTGATTCCCCCAGTGCACTCCACGCCTCCTGCATGAAGTAATTCCCCATAACAATTGAGAACTTAAGACAACAAATAAGGACAAATCATTGGAAGCCGCCATGGCACTAAGTCGCACTGCCTTCCCTGTCATCTCAGATGGCTCAGTCTCTTAAGTCCCAAAATATCCCTAATTATAACCCTGCCCAGGAAGGCAGACCCCCACCCCCACCCAGCCTGGGCTCCCTGTTAGGCTGGGGAGCCTGTGACTTGTTGGCCTCTGAAATTTCCGGGCAAACTCTTCTTATCCTTGCTTGCATCATTTCGGACTAGAGAACAGTTGGTGACTCTAGAACGAGATGATTACCATCTCAGTCTCGTGCTGTGTCTGAAGTTAGTTTGGGAATAGGAACTGTGGGGAGACAAGTTGCATTGTGTGCAGAACTGAGCCTTTCTCCACCCTTCACCCCGCCAGCAAGCCAAATTACAGCAGCAGATGGACCTGCAAAAGAATCACATTTTCCGCCTGACTCAAGGGCTGCAGGAAGCTCTTGATCGGGCCGACCTGCTGAAGACGGAGAGGAGTGATCTGGAGTATCAGCTTGAGAACATTCAGGTGAGGCCAGCAAATGGGGACCTGCTGAAAGCATGTCTGTGTGTCAGGCAGGACGGCTACATGCTGACTGGGGAAAATCGTCAGTGTCTTTACGTTGTATACTGATTGGCTATCATGAATCCTTTTGTCTTTTCCTAATATTTTATTGTTAAAGTTCCCAAGCATTCACAAAAGTGGGAGGATTTCACCTGGACTTCATAATTTACCACTTGCTCTTTTTTTTTTTTTTAATTTATTTTTTGTAAAAATATACGCAGCAAATTCTGCATTTACAACTCAGTGACATTGTTTACATTCTTCAAGTTGTGTAACTGTTCTTGTTCTCCTAAAGTCTGCCACCGGTGGCAGAAAGTCCGTGTTCCCTAAGCTTCTTACGTAGCCTATCAAGTTACTGGTGTCAGCTTGATCCCACAGAGATAGATCTTTGAGAGAGCTCAATGCTCAAGGCAGACAGACTTTATTAATCTGGCTAAACTGTTATTTGGTTCAAGGCAGAGTTTCGGGAAAAGTTTTGATTTGAGGTTTACAGTTTAAACTTTATCTCGGAACATTTGTTTCAGGGGCTTATCCAGCCTCAGTGGCGTCAGGAGGTCTAGATTCCATTGAAAAATTATAATTCTGTTTTTTTTCCCCCTTTTTATGTTTTCATCCACCTATCCATAGATCAATCCATCCCTGTGTGCATGAATGTGTGTGAGAGAGAGACGAGGGGAGAGGGACAGAGAGAGAGAGATGGGAGGAGAGAAAGAGAGAGACGAGGGGGGCAAAGAGGGGAGAGAGAGAGAGACGTTAAGTAACTACTCGACTCTCCAGTTTGTGTTGGACTTTCATATGCTAGTGTCCTAATGACATTTTTATTTTCTTAAAGTACCAGATTTAAAAGCATACTTCTTTCAGGGTCTGAGGTTATTTTCATTTCATAAATTTTAGGTTCTCTATTCTCATGAAAAAGTGAAAATGGAAGGCACTATTTCTCAACAGACCAAACTCATCGATTTTCTGCAAGCCAAAATGGACCAGCCTGCAAAAAAGAAAAAGGTGGGTCAAAGTTTTGGAAAAGTGGGAGTTGACGGGTCTCCAGCTCCATAGTGTTTGTTCAGGATTTAGTGGATACCCCTGTGATAGTTAATCATAGGAAGGGAGATTAAAACAGTTTGCATGTTTTCTTATTTTAATTTTAGTGGAAAAACAGGTTTTGAGATCATTAGAATAACCCTTCAAAAGAATATCTATCATTGATCAGGTCTTGTAACAGACTACTTTGTATTCATGGCTTTCAGACTATAGTGCCTTCTCTACTAACAGAGTGATTTTTTTTTTTTTTTTAACCTGAATAGTTTGGGAAGGGGGTGGTATGCAGAGAAAACATCACGTGTGTGAGATTCTCAGGCCATACAGATTGGGCTACTGAGCGATTAGCGGGTCATAGGTATGGGACCCCAGAGCATGCTCAGATCACATGCAGGCCTTTAGAAATCTTCTTATCCAATCCTTTTGATTGGCTAGTGAAGTGACTGACACCCAGGCAGTGAGATGACCTGCCTGAAGTGACTGACTGGATAGCTAGACCCTGCCCCGTGTACTGCACCACCCCTTTCAAATTGTAGCAAACAAGTTCAAAACTGTGGACATGGTTCTGTGAAGGTTGCTTTTGATAAGCCCAATACATGCTTTCTTAAACCACTGTGGTGCTCATACGAGGTTTAGCCAAGTGTTCTCAGTTGTAGAAAAGTCTCTGAGGAGGTTACAGCTTCCTCCCAAAGGCACTGTTGTACTATGATAGCAGTGGTAGCAGTTTTACAACTGACTTGGAAGACCTTGGATGGCAGACTGGAGCCAAGTTGCCCTAAATATCCCCAGTGCCATGGTTACCGTATAGGGATGATCGTAGTAGTCAGGCAGGCCTCCTGCTAAGGGGTGGCTGCACAGGAAGGATTTTCTTGCTGTCTGTGTGATTGTGTGTGTGTTATGCTTATGATACAATATTTAATCTTTTAATTTAACAGCAGATTGTTCTATGATTATGTCATTTGATGTAGTTAGGGTTTTTTTTAAATTATTATAAACATTTTTTTGGTTTCATTATTCTGTGCTTTGTTTCTTCTTCCATGTATAGTAAATGTTTCCATTTGCATGTTTTAAAAGTTTGCCCCTTGTTTTGACATCATTTTAATACTAAATTTTTTTTTTTTTGGTTCCTTTTTTGAAAACACTCATCTCTGTGTCTTCTAACTGTTTATCATGGCGAGAATGATTTCTGAGCCATCTCTCCTGACTCCATCCTCCACTTCCATTTTTTGAGGGTCAAGACCGTCAGGAGATGCCTCTCCGGTCTTGAGAATACTAAAGGAAGAGGCGGTGGCCATGCGAGCATCTTTAACCCTCTTGGTGAACACGTCCACACCCCTTTTTTTCCAGCCGGCTGGAACGGGCTGTGGCTCAGCCTACCCTTTTCCCCCTTCACATGCCATTTTTACTAAATACACTTACAGTGAGTATGTGCCTGGCTTTTGTGGTTCACTCCTGAGTCAGACTTCCTTTAGCTAGTTTAAAGTGCCAGTTTCCAGGAGTTAGGAGATATCTCTGTTTCCATTGCTAGGGTTTATTTAGTCGACGGAAAGAGGACCCTGCTTTGCCCACACAGGTTCCTCTGCAGTACAATGAGCTGAAGGTGGCCCTGGAGAAGGAGAAGGCTCGCTGTGCAGAGCTGGAGGAGGCCCTTCAGAAGACCCGCATTGAGCTCCGGTCCGCCAGGGAGGAAGGTAGGGGCTCTCTCCACCCAAGGGCCGGTCTCAGCGAGATTGGTCGAGACTAGTTCAGCATCTTTAGTTGTGGTCCATAAGCTTTCAGTCGAGACTTCCAGAGTCTGAAAGACCTTTGGCATCCTTGGCATTGCCTCTTTGGTGTGACAGGTGTCCTTTTGGTCTCGGGTCCTTGAAAAGCAGCTCAGGGGCAACATTCCACTTGGTTTGGTCCTCCAGGTAACCCAGCTAACTGCCAGGCTTTGTACTGGTCTCTCTGCAGCTGCCCACCGAAAAGCCTCAGACCACCCCCACCCATCTACGCCAGCCACAGCGAGGCAGCAGATCGCAATGTCTGCCATTGTGCGGTCGCCCGAGCACCAGCCCAGTGCCATGAGCCTGCTCGCCCCGCCTTCCAGCCGTAGAAAAGAGTCTTCAACTCCAGAGGGTATGTTCCCACAGGCCAGGTGGACTTTTATTCATTTATTTTTTTATTGGCTAAAGTGGAGACATGTGATAAAAATTACAAGTGATACAAAGGAATGAATAGTGACATGCAAATCTACCCCCGACCAAAACCTCAGTTTCCTTAACCAGAGTCAGCCACTGCTTCTGACCACTTGTTCTTCCAGAGATAATTCAAGCATTTAATTAATGTCTGTGTTATCACAGTCGATTCTTAGTATTCATGGTATTTTTGGTCTATAAAGCTGCTGAAAAACACTAAATTTAGCAAATACTGAACCATTGCTCCTAGAAGAAGTACAGGGTTAGGTTCCTGTGAGCCTCTGGTCAAATTTTTGTCAGCCAATCAATACATGACCTTATTTTATGTGTGTTTCTGGTTAAAGATTCCTTCTTTAATATAAAAGGAGCTCTGGTGCCACTGTGGTTAAGGTGTCAGGCTACTAACCAAACAGTTGGCAGTTGAAACTCACCAGCCGCTCCCTGGGAGAAAGATAAGGTAGTCTGCTTCTGTGAAGATCCACAGCCTTAGGAACCCTACGGTAGTCTCTACGAGTTGGAATTGACTCTATGGCAGTGGGTTTGGTTTTTTTTTGTTGGTATTTAATATATATGGCTGATTCATTAACATTGAACTCAAGCCAACAGCACTATAACTTGTCTAAATAAAGCTTAGCTCACACATCTTTTCATCGTAAGGCACAGCACTTGTGCTTAGGAACTCTAGACAGCACTTCAGCACTCCACTTGGGGATCATTTTAAACTATGAATTACCGGCACAAAGCACAAAAAATGCAAAAAAAAACATTGATAGCAAAAGGACTGAGAAAATGACGCACTTATTTACAGTCTGAGAGCTGAAACAGGAAGACAGAGTGTTGCCTTACTCATCCTCAGTTGGGGATTTGTCGGAGTTTTTACCGCTCTGTGCATGTCCATGAATGACCATATAAGGGCCACGAGTATTAATTTTGGGGTGACAAATTTTAACGTGTAGGCAAATTCGTGACTATTAACCCACAAAAACTGAGAATCAACTATATATTTTAAATGTATGAGAAAATACGTCTATTTCTTTTCATCCCCTTTTAATAAAAATCTTAGCACAGTACACTGTCTGTAAGATGCCTTTCTTTTACTTAAAATGTTATCTTAGAGTGATTTCTGTCAGCACATTCGGATCTTCCTTGTTCTTTTTCAAAGAGCTTCATAGTATTCCATTGTGTAGTGTACCATTCACTCACTTAGTCTGACCTTGCAGGGGGACATTCACATTGTTTCCAATCCTTGTTATTGTAAACACTCTGCAGTGAGCATCCTGTGCCTCTCTGAATGCTCTGTCTTGAGGATAAGTTTTTGGGAAACGAATCATTGGGTTAAAGGTTACGTGCATTTCGTGTTGGTGGTTTGTGCCCATGTGTATTCCTACCAACGTGAGACTCCTTTTTCACTCAGCATAATGTTTTCAAAGCTCATCTATGTTGTAACATACATCAGGACTTCATTCTTTTTAATGGCTGAATAATATTCCATTTTATGGATAGACCACATTTTGTTTATTCATTCATCTGTTGATGGTCATTTGGGTTGTTCCTACCTTTTGGCTATTGTGAATAATGCCATTCTGAATACCTATATACAAGTTTTTGTGTAGACGTCCATTTTTAATTCTCTTGGGTATATACCTAGGAGTACAATTGCTGGGTCATATGATAAATCTGTATTTAACTGAAGAACTGCCAAACTGTTTTCCACGGTGTCTGTGTGCCATTTTACATCCCCACCACCAAGGTGTAAGGAAGGGTTCTGATCTCTATGCATTTTCACCAACACATGTTATTTTTCTTTTGTTTTTTTAATTATAGCCATCCTAGTGGTCATACAGTAGTATCTCAGTGTGACTCCGGTTACATTTCCCTAATGACTGATCATATTGAGCATCTGTTCATAATGCTTAATGGCTCTTTGTCTGTATTCTTTGGTGAGGTGTCTATTCAAGAACTTTGCCCAAGTTTTAATTGGCTTAATTGAATGGTAAGCATTCTTTATATATTCTGGACACAAGTCCCTTACCCAGGGATATAATTTGCAAATATTTTCTTCCATTCTGTGGGCTATCGTCTCACTTTCTTGATGGTATCATTTGTAGTGTTCTAGGGAGCTCTGG